CTAGTTCAAAAGACGAAAAAATATCACATTATGTGACGTCATTCGATTGATTTGCCTTTAAACAGGGCATTTAACCTTGAAATTAAATAGTTGTTCTAATTTTGTGTATACATTGTGACGTGGTGCATTTGCAGTGTATTTTCAATATATGAGAGGAGATTAGAGTGAAGAATTACATTTCGTTTTGTCCAGCCCTGCAGTGAGTGTCTACAATAGTGTAAATTTTGTGTAAAAAAATTTTTTTAAGTGAGAACAATTATTATTGTATTTATTGCTAACTAGATATTACAGGGAATTATAATATAAAAATGGCATTATCAATTGATGAATTAAATAAAATAAATAGTAATATTAACGGTGAATTCAATGATATTATGCGAAGGTCAGTTTCCTCGTTGGAAATTGATATATCGGATAAAAAACTTGCATCTTTTGTCAATACATGTTTTGGAAAGTCCATTTTAGCTATATTGTTTGATGAAAAGTGTAATTTAAATTTCAAGTGTTTTTTACCAAAGAGGGTTACAGAACACATGACAGAGGATATTTTGAATAAAATGAATTCCTCTTGGGAACAATATACGATAACTTATTTAGGTCAAAGTGAAATAATAATAATTTATTCATCAGAAAAACCTTACAAATAAGAACATGATACGTCATAAAAGGAAGAGGGTTATACATTTACCCGGTAAAAATACAGATTTACAAAAACAAAAAACAAAAACAAAGTTACAACATATAATCTAAAATGTTATAGTTATAACGTAAGTCCTAAAAATAATGTATTGACAACTCACATAGTTACATTTAAAAAAAGTCTCTAATGTGATAAAAACATTTATCTATAAGGTATGCCCTTAATTCTTTTTTAAACTTATTTTCACATCGTATATCCTTTGTTACACTTGGTAGTTTATTATAAATATCGCTACATAGATATGTTGTACTTTTTTTGCTGAAGGACAACTTAATACTATTTATGTAAATATCTTTGCTGTTTCTTGTGTAGTGGTCATGAACATCGGTGGAGAGAGTAAATTTATTGATGTTACTTTTTGCGAATATACTTGCCTCATAGATTGTTATCGATGGTAGTGATAATAACTTGGCACTGATAAAATGCGGTCGGAATGATTCTAGAGGATGTAATTTCAAAATGAATCGAATTAGTCGATTTTGAGCTACAAAGACTATGAATATCGGTGGCCACGCCCCAATAAACAAGATATCTCAAATGAGGATACGCCAGGACGTAATACACATTAAACAGATACCTATTTTTTATCAACAAAATTCCTCCAATTTCTGATTGCATATATGCTGAGCTGAGTTTTTTCACAACATGATTTATGTGATCGGCCCACTTTAATTGTTGGTCTATGTAGAGTTCTAGAAACTTAGTACTAACTGTTTTATTGAGGATCTTATTGTTATATGACAGGATTATATCACATATAACTTTACGTTTATAATACACTATGTAATTTGTTTTGTCTGTATTAAGAATGAGTTTGTTTAGTTTTACCCAATTGTGAAATTGCGCTAGAACCTCATTAGTTCTGACTTCCAGGTCCAAAAGATTTGATTCACTAATGCTAATTGTTCCATGTCAATACTATCGAAAAGTTGACCGATAGAGGTGAAGCCGTAGCGGCAGAAAGAAAAATGATTAGAAGATGTAATGCTTGCATTCAAGCCAACGGACGTAATTTTGAACAGTTTCTGTAAATTTTACTCGCCAAATTGATAAAAAAAGTTAAAATCCTATCTGTTGTTAAATTTCGTTAAAATTGTTAATTATTACTACCTATTTTTTGAATTACAAAAGATTTTCGAAACGTTAGCAAAATGTTTGCTTTTGTTCATAAAAAGTCATTTTTCTTGAAAACGGTTGACTTTAGAGCAATGAACC